TGTGTGTGTGTGTGTGTGTGTGTGTGTGTGTGTGTGTGTGTGTGTGTGTGTGTGTGTGTGTGTTTGTGTGTGTGTGTGTGTGTGTGTTTGTGTTGTGGTGCGTGTGTGTGTGTTGTGGTGTGTGTGTGTGTTGTGGTGTGTGTGTGTGTGTGTGTGTGTGTGTGTGTGTGTGTGTGTGTGTGTGTGTGTGTGTGTGTGTGTGTGTGTGTGTGTGTGTGTGTGTGTGTGTGTGTGTGTGTGTGTGTGTGTGTGTGTGTGTGTGTGTGTGTGTGTGTGTGGTAGTGTGTGTGTGTGTGTGTGTGTGTGTGTGTGTGTGTGTGTGTGTGTGTGTGTGTGTGTGTGTGTGTGTGTGTGTGTGTGTGTGTGTGTGTGTGTGTGTGTGTGTGTGTGTGTGTGTGTGTGTGTGTGTGTGTTAGTGTGTGTGTGTGTGTGTGTGTGTGTGTGTGTGTGTGTGTGTGTGTGTGTGTGTGTGTGTGTGTGTGTGTGTGTGTGTGTGTGTGTGTGTGTGTGTGTGTGTGTGTGTGTGTGTGTGTGTGTGTGTGTGTGTGTGTGCGTTGGCATGTCTACGTGCACACCCCCAATCGGATACGTGGTACAATCGCAACGCCGAAAAGGACAACAAAACCCTGAAGGAAATTGGATGCGTTGAAGAGCCTGCAACAGCTTCTGAAGAGCCTGCAACAGCTTCGATACCTCCAAGACTAGTGCAACATCAACGCAGATCACAGTGTGCTCAAGCACCTTGGGCATCAATCAAAATCGGGGCGCCCCGGGTGCCAAAAAACATGCTTCCATCTAGTTTCCCTTTAATCCAACCTGAAAATTGCTTTCGAAGACACAAGCGCGTTTCAGGCTTCACTGCCGGATATTGCCGGCAGTCGAGAGTTTCCTTTGCTTGGTGAACTGCGAATCTCTTCTGCTGGCTTCGATGCCTCTCTCGAGGTGTTCTGTTGGCCTCTCGTTGGCACGCAAAGCTGGGGTCCCACGTCCTCCGCACGTTCTGATCTTGAACGGGGCCCAATGTAGACTTTAAGCAAGCAATTGAGATCCCCCAGGGGAAATCACTGGGCTTGAGGCTACCTGTGGGTGATCACAGATGGAACCCTACCCTCTCGGTAGCTACAGCGCTTTGAAAGAGATGCGCTGGGTGGGGAGAATGGTTCTTGCATCCGGCCCGTACATGCGAAATTTCTTCTGCCATCCCTCTCACCCGAAAATCTCAGGTCACCTTCCTCACACTTCCCGCCTGAACCTTTCGCTCGGGCAAGGGCGGGGACTCCTTGGACATGAACTTCCAAATGAAACTCAGCAGAAGATTCCCGTCGTCGCGGAACTCTTGCAAAATGGCCCGGCAGCCCACCGGCAAGGTTGCTCGATCTGGAACCCCGTCGCGAAGCTGCACCTAGGCGTCGGGTTGTTGCTCCACTCGATCCTTGCTGGCAAGGCTCAGCAACTGCGTCACAATCAAAGCCTGGTGCAAAAATGGTGAACCCACAACCACGTAGAGAATTAGAAAGGCGGCCACAACTATTTCCCGCTGGGACTGCCCCTTACTCACCTTCATCTACCTGGGTTTTGATTGTGGCTCAACTGACGACCCCCCATTCCCCCTCCCCCCTTGTCTAAGCCACCCATCTGCCGCACCCAACCCATCCGCCGCAAGCCCAACCCAGGGCGCCTCCACAAAGGTGCTGACGAACTGGTGCGCGATCTGGTCAAGCTGCTCATCGAGCAGAGCGCCGTCCAGTACCGGGATGCCGCTGAGGCAGCTCAGGGTGCCCCGGTTCAGGGTCATCACAACCCTGAGGTCCTCAAGCAGACTGAACAATGGCGGGCCTCATGCCTTCCCAGAAACATGGACTTCAGCTTCATGTACAAGTTGAAAGGGCGGTTCTTTAGGCTTTGGGCAACTGGCTCAGCACGCGTGATCTTCAAACCATCAAACCCGCCGCCAACAAAGCCATCGAAAACCAGACGTCCCCTCCTGCTTGGGCGGCAGCCAGCTCTCCGGGGGACCACCCAGGTAGAGGCAAGGGTTGGGGCCAGTGGCCCAAGACACCTGCGGCGGCTTTCATTCGCCCCCGCCTGTCCTTTCTTGGTCGCTATCCCAGTAGACTTGCTCGCTCTGATGACGGACAAGTTTGGCGATGGTTGACGCAACAAGGATCGCACAGTAGAAGCCCTATACGATCCATGAACACATACGTGCTCTCGAACACTTGCAAGCAGACACGCCTGTGTGTGTGTATGTGTCTCTAGGCTGGGAAAGCACACACACACACACCACACACCCACAAACACACACACACACACACACACACACACACACACACACACACACACACACACACACACACACACACACACACACACACACACACACACACCCGCCCGCCAACGCACGCCTGCACGCACATGCACACACACGCAAACACACGCGCAACCGTGCTCACGCATACATAGGCACTCGCGTTTTTTTCCCGCTTCTCTCTTGCTTTCCCTCACGCACGCACACACACAAACAGACACACACACACACATGCACGGCATTTTGTTGTGTCCGTGTGCGCGTTTGTTTGTGTTTGTGTGTGTGTGTGTGCGTGTTTTCTTTGGTTGCTTGCTTGTTTGTTTGTTTGGTTGCTTGTTTGCTTGTTCGTTTGTTCGTTTCCATGTTTGTTGAGTTGCTTGCTTAATGTGTGTGTGTGTGTAGGTGAGTGTGGGCGCACGTGCGTGCATGCGTGAGAGCTTGCGTGCAGGCGTGCGGCGCGGACGCGCGGGCGCGGGCGAGCGTGCGGGCGGGCGGACGTGCGGGCGTGTGGGCGTGATTGCGTGCGTGATGGCGGGCACAATGATGTGCGCAATGATGTCTGCAATGATGCGTGCAATGATGCCGGCAGCGCCGTGCGCAATCAGTGTGCATGTTTAGGCCATTAGGAAACTTTCGTCAAAACTTTTGTGTCGTCAATTTCCACATGTGAACCAATCGATGGCACCCTAATTGAACTTCGGCTACACAAACATCCATCTTAATACTAGCTGATGTCTCGTTTAGAGTAAGTACAAATCCTCCAGTTCCACTCCAGTCTGTTCGCAAATCCGAGTTCCACCTTTTTCTGCCGGTTCAATTCCCCTCTTTTCCGCACCTTGGGCAGCGGCATCTTGGGCAGGCACACCGCGGGCTCGGAGTCCGAGGGGCAGCTGATGGGCGACGCCGGGCCCGGGCTCCGGTCGCTGCGCGTGCGGGGCTTCCGCCAGCAGAGCCCGAAGAAGCCCATCAGTTGCCGGGCTCTGACCCGCGCTTGGCGCGCCGCCTTAGCGCGGGCTCCTTTTCTTTAAGGGAACCACTGCCCCGGTAGCTTACAATCAAAGTCACCCCCGAAGTGGTAGATAAAAAGGGAAACACCCCATTGCTGACTTACAATACTGACCCCAGAACTGTGCCAAAGGATAGCTCTGGACTTGGGAGATTGGGCCAACGTTTTACCCGTACACGGAGAAAAACCCACCCCACTCCCCCCGTTAAAGTCCTGATCGGCATGATCTTATGAGAAGTCGTTGAAACGACTCAGCAACCAACGCCTTCCCTGCCCTCCGCGGAGCGGCCTGAGGGTCCATCTTTGGCACTTTGAGTATGGCCACCTCAATCTCCCGAAGACTCATGGGCCGATTCCCCAGCAAATAGCTCACTCGGTTCCGGAAGTTGCTCATCTCAGACTTGGTCTGCGGAGTCCCAAAAATCAGAAAGCCATGCCTGGGCCGGCGCAACGATGCGAAGAAATGCATGCGATGTCTTCATCATTGTTTCTTGATGTGCCGTGAGCTCGTGCAGGATGTCTTTGCGTTTTTGTAACAGCCCATTGGTTCAAACCACCCGGGCAAGATGCAACAGGATACAGTGGTAGGTGTTCACCCAGAACGCCAGCTGATCAGCCTCGCTCCACTTCGTGAAGCTGATGGCCTGGCTTTTGACACAAGCAGGGTGAGCACCTCCCACTTTTTTTGGCGAACACGACTTAGGGACACACAATCATGATATACATGCCGAGGTGCACATGGTACGCGAACGAACTCTACGCAAAAATGATGAAGCACAGCGCAACGCAATTTGATCCAGCGCTGTTTCAGCAAGGCAAAACAGCGTATGGGCGCATGAGTTTTTGATGGCATGGCTGCATGGATGAGTGGGAAAATCATGCACGCGCGCGCATGGGATCGACTGCGATGCGAACGACGCAACGTACATTCCAGCGCAACCCACAGCAACAACACACAACACGGCGCATTGCAATAGTACGGATGCATGGTTGGATGGATGTGTGAATCCATGGATACACGACTGCATGAATGCATGAGTGGGTGGAATGCGAGGCCATGACGCACTTGCAACACCCCACCTTGCAATGCGCTGCACTGGTGCATGCATCAAGTGAGGAAGGGACGGAATGATGGTTCGATGGACGGTATGTCAGCATCCCTGCATCCCTCCACCCAATCACTACGACCCACACATCCGTCGCCCCACGCATGCCATGCCATACCATGCCACTCCATCGCACAAGGTGAATTATTGTACCTAGATAGGTATGTAGATAGCTAAACAGATAGACAACCAACTAAATAGATGGGAAGGTGCACAAGTAGATAAACAAACAATAGATTAGATCTCTTAGATAGGTTAGATAGACACACTCATCTTGATAAACAGATAGACGAATAGGTGAATAGATACATTGGTCAAAGACCATTGAGATAGATAGATGGATCGATCAATACAGAGACACATGAATAGAAAGACTACATACAAAGACAGATAGATGCACAGCAAGATCCGTAGACAAATAAATAACTAGAGGCATGGATCGACAAATAAGTAGTCAGGATGACAGATCGAGAAGTGGATAAATAGAGGGTAGCTAGATAGACGTACGGATTTTAGCGTTGCCGCCTGACACGGGGTGACATTCACCATCACAGTTTCTCACTGCATGATGCGTGGAGCCTGCAGGATTTGACCTAAGGAAAACACTTCCGTCCTAGCGATCCTCCGCACGCGTTGCTCCCCACATCTAAGCCGATTGCCCGAAAGCTTCACGAAACATGTCTTCACGCCAGAGAATCTTGCAGCCAAAACTTGCGCACAGAACCTCGCATAAAGCACTTGCACAGAAAAACTTGCGCTGAGATTTTGCACAAAGAAACTTGCACACCAATCGCCCACAGAAGCACGTTTAGCGGCCAAAAAACACGCATGCGTCCTTCAATGCTTTCGGGCCACTCGTCGTCCATGCACATGGCCCAAACTCCCCCAAACAGTCATGGTGAAACTACGCAAGGCTCAGGTAGACGACAACCGTGTTGTTTCCACAGGCGCACATGAGTTACTAAGGAGTGACCCCAGGACCTTTTCTCGGCTCGAGTTGCACGAAGCAGGGCGAAGTCGAACAACTGGAGCCCAGCGACAAGTCCCATATTTGGAGGCAGCGCTTTGTGGGAGAGTCTTGACGGGCTTTGGAGTCTTGCAAGGCAGAATTGCTGGCGGCCAGCGACACGCCACAAAACTGCGAGAAGTCAGGCAGTTGAGCAGCATGTCCATGGATGCGTCGGTGTCTTGGACAAACGCCAGCTGGCTAGACCACCCAGCAGCAGGCTCAGCCTTTGCGCGCGCGACCTATGTGAGGCCCGTTCAGCATCATCTTGGCACAAGAGCTCGGGCTTGTGAGCTTCTAGGACCGCAGGCCGTTTGCGCATGGCAGGCTTGTACGCGCGGACGCTGCCCGAGGAGAGATGGGCCGCGTTTAGGCAGGCTGCGTCCAATGGACATGTTCAGCGTTGTGCGCCATGTGCCTAAAGTCCAGACAGGGCACGCTGACGGGCTGCGAACGCCTGTCTTGCATCCAAGTCTTTCGCGACGCTTGTCCGATCTGCATCACTGATGGCCGTGACGCGTCCTGGGCCGCTTATCCAGACTTTTCCAAGGCCGCAACACCCGTCCTCCTCTTCCTCCCCTGAATACGTCACAGCTGTACCCGGACTGCTCGGACCGCGGCATGGCTCTCTTCTCCAGGCGCGGAGTTTTCTTGGGAACCCCTCCGTTGTTTCATTTATCGCTCGCCGCTGGCTTGCTTCTTGCCGGCTGCTGCGTGGGCCAGTGCTGGGGGAACTAGTTGCTCTAGCCTATTCCGCCCAGTTCGTGCGCTTTGCCGGCGTCTCTGGTGCCGCAGCGCCCCCTTTCCCTGTCTCGCGCGAATTGCATACATACACCATTTGTTGCATTTCTTCACATCACATCACAGCACAGCGCCTTACATTACATTATATTACATTACATCACATCACAACACATCACAACACATTACAACATACACCACAAACAACACAGCACCGCACATTTCACTACTTTACATTGCATGTCTGCACATTACATTAAATTGCATCGCAGCACCCTACATTACATTACATTACATTGCATTGCATCACAGTACCGCACATTACATTACATTACATTACAGCACAACACAGTACAGTACATTTCGTCACGACACAGTACCGTGCACTACAATACGTTGAATTACATTACATTACAGCACATTGCGTTGCATTACATTGCATGCATTGCAGTACATTACAGTACTCTACATTGCGTTACATTGCACTCACAGCGCTGCACACTACAATGCACTACATCACATTACATCACAGCGCCGCACATTACATTTCTTTGCCTTGCAGTTAGTTTCCTTACATCGCAACACCGCACACTTCCTTTACACTACACTACACTACACTACCTTAAATTACAATACATATCTTCACATGACATGACAGCACCATACACTACAGCACATTACACTACTTTACATTGCATTTCTGCACATTACATAAATTGCATCGCAGCACCCTACATTACATTACATTACATTACGTTACATTACATTACGCTACGCTACGCTACGTTACATTGTATTTCAAGACATTTCCTTGCATCGCACAACATTATAACATTACACGCACAACAACGTCTTGCATTATGCGCATTAAGTCACATTCATACACACATAAACGTGGATGCAGGGATGCATGCACGTCGGGATCGATGGATAATTGATGCATGCATGCTTGGGGAAGTATGCATAGCTATGTGCATGACCTGCACTCAAACAGCACGTTTACATGGTCCGTAAAGGAAGCTGGCTGGCAAGCTGCTGGCTGGCTGGCTGTGGCTGGCTGGCTGTGGCTGGCTGTGGCTGGCTGTGGCTGGCCTGTGGCTGGCTGTGGCTGGCTGTGGCTGGCCTGTGGCTGGCTGGCTGGCTGTGGCTGGCTGGCTGGCTGGCTGTGGCTGGCTGGCTGTGGCTGGGTGGCTGGCTGTGGCTGGCTGGCTGGCTGTGGCTGGCCGTATGGCTCCTTGTTGAGGCAGGCTGACTGACATAGGACAAACCGAAAGATGTCACTGTTTCCAAGAAGGGCATGGTCCAGTAGTCTGAAAATGCACAACCTGAACCACAAAATGCGCAACCTGAACCCACGCACTGCTGTTCTCAGATTCTTATAGCTTTGCCGAAGGTTGGGGCTTCCCTAAAGCCCGGGCCAAGCCAAAAGGGCAGCGCCTTGAAGAGGCAGGTGGCATCCAAAAAGCTCATGACGTCGCTGGCGGCTGGGGCATCGCCCAGCGACAGCGCCTTCTGCAACAAACATGCAGCGATCTCAGGGCCCAGGGGCTCCTCGGAGCGGAGAACGGGCGTCCCCCCAAACAGAAAGCGCTAGGTCTGACGGACGGCAACGAGGATTTTGGACCTCACCACCGTGCCATGTGAAGCAAATCCTATGAATAGCTAAAAAGAATCGACGACGGCAAGAACACGTTCGCGACCACTGCCGCGCTGCATGCAAATACGAAGCCTGTGCCCATCATGTGTGTAACGTCTACGAACACGGTACCAATGCATTGCATAGGCTGTTTTTGTCGTTGTCGTGGTTGTTTTCTGTGGCAATACGAACGCCTGGGTGTAGGGATGATATCAGAACGGCGTCCACAAAATGCCGACAACTTCCAAAGTAATGGCCTTCAAAAATGTTTTATGAAACTCTCAATGAATCGGTTTGCCGCCTAGAGCTATCAAGCAAACCCGAACGTGAAGCTCAAAGCAACTAAATAGCCAATGTCACAGGATAACGACAGAAAGCGTGTTCATTTCCAACACCTAATGGTCATGAAGAACACACACGTGCACGGCGCAGCACTGCACGAAGCGAATCGTCAACTGACAAATCATCAACATGATAAACGACGTATGCATCCTGTGACATTTGATTTGGGATTTGCTTTGTTTTACGTCGCTGTCTGTTTTTGGTTCACTTGGGGGGTAAGAAGGAATCCTGTACAGCACAGCACTTTCTAGCAAGAGCGCACGCATTCACACAGCCACCGCAATATCACCAAAGTCCCCTTGGCATCTTTTAACACCCCATCAGCAGGCTGTTTGGAGGGTTATATAGGGTTTGTTCCGGGTAGTGGGCTTGTTGTTTGTTTAGGGTGGGCCTGGATATTGACGTGAGGCTTGGGTGGGAATAGGGTGGGTTTAGGTAAGCTCAGGCTTGGGTTCAGGGTCTGGGGTTAGGGTTGGTTTAGAGTGGGTTTAGGGGGCTGTATGGTTGCTTTAGGGCCAGAAAGCCAGGCCGGAGAATATCAAAATCAAAAACTGGAACGAATCTGTCAAAATGGTTTCCTAATTTCACGGTAGAACAAATGCAAAACAGAATGAAATCTATAGCGTCACCATGACAGTTGGTTGACCTTATGTTGTCAGAGGGAGAACAAACAACAAAGAATGTAGGCAAATGGATGACTAGAGTAAGCAATGTAATGCGTGTGCCGTGCTAATTCTGCTGTTGGAGTTACAAATGTTAGACATGTCAAGCTTGCACAAGTCTATATTTGAGAAATGTGCACGCAACAACAAAAAAACTTAGGCGAACTGCAAAAACCGGATGCAGTTGCCAAACAAGCTAAACAACGCATTGCTAATCACAGAATCGTTGAGGGGGAGGAGGGTAAATGGGGCCCTTCATTGCTGTGCTGCTTGTGGCTTTTTCGCACTGGTAGAATCTCTGAGTATCTGGCAACCTGGCAAAAAAACGATTGGATTGCAAAAAGCTTGAGGTACAGGCTTGATGCATTTTGCAGCCTAACAGGCCTTGCACATCAGGCTGTGATGTGCAGTACGTGTGATGTATGTGTTGTGTGTGTGTCTCTGTTTTGATGTATTTGTTATGTTTGATGCGTGCGTGATGCCTTATGCTGCATGTGGCAGGCAAATTGGGTGATATGGTTGATGTGTTGTCTGCTTCTTTTGTTAGTTGATGTTTGCTTTGTCGTGTGCACACACTGTCCAAGAGCCCAAGACGGAAATTACCACAATTTGACTGCTTCGTCTTTCGTCTGGGGCTTCAGCCGGTTAGGGACTGGTTAGGGTAATGGCGACCAACGCGGCAATGGTGTGATTTAATGCGACAAACTCAGCCGCAGATCGCAACCTGACTTCCCAAATACCACACAACCACACAAATACATCCGCCAGGTGCAGAAACACTTTCTCATTTAAAACAAAGAATAAAATAAAATAAAACAAAATAAAATAAGATTAGGAAGTATCTGCTCTTTTTCGCAATTTTGTTAGCAAAGTCATTTTGAGCGGAATATTGAGCTTCAACGATCTTGAATGGCACATGATTTCAGGGGTCCCCAAAGGATTCGTTGAGTTACTTGGGCATCCTGAAGTGAAACACATGTGGTACGCTCAACAGAACAAGTCGCACAAGGTAGATTGTGTGTAAAAGCATGTAAAACCGCAACAAAATGCTACAAACCGTAGAGTACGCTTGTGAACCGGCACACGTCCGATTTGCAAAACTAAGCACACGGAAACACATGTACATTGTTGCCACCCACTCCCAAATTAAGATTTGTTGCAAACCTCAAGCATGGCCTCTTGAAGCCTCTCCGAGGCCTGCTGTTGAATAAATGAAATGAGGAACCAGGGAGGGAGATTAAAAGAAAACGTAGCAAGATAGAAAATAGAGGGCAAAATGACAGGTCAAGACAAAGACATATTAAAACAAGGGGCATCAATGAAACTCAAATACAACAAAGAAGGGAAGCATCCACACAGGAATAGTATTCACCATGAACGTTCACCTTGCGCACGAGTGTAAAGCTGTATTCTTTCTGCACGCAAGTTCTATTACTTCATAGGCCAAAGTCTAGCTATATTTGCCCCCCGCAAATCTTATGGCTGCTCACGTGTGAAGTGCTTGGCAGAGATGAGGGAAAGTCTCACGTTGCACCGCACAGAACAGGGATTCCGTCCTTGGGCGCACTCGTGAGGATCCGATCGTTGAGCACGAGGCGGCGTCGATGTCCCCAGCGTCTTGCGCGAGTGGAGTCCATCAAAAGCATGGCCTCTTTGCTGGGCACCCGTTGGCCTCCTGTGATGGCGCGCAGCCCGTTCCGGGCGCCGCCGGCCACACGGCCCGCGGCCTTCTTGGCGTTGGAGAAGCTGAAGACGTCCACCGGGTTGGATCTTGAGCTCCTATGGCGAACCCAAACCTTGTGGCAGCTGTGACCAATCGAACTGATCAAACCTCCCTCGAAACTTGCTACTGAGGTTGCCACGGATGTGTCACAGCTTTGGTTTGGCCCCGCCTCCAGGTGGCTGGCGTCTTCGGGGTGGCAACCTCTCGGGGCGACTGCTCAAGAGGTAGACGCGTCTCGTCCGTGTTCTGCTCGGTGGCCATAAGCCGCTGCAGGTTGGAGATCCAGGTCTCCCGCTCCTCGCTGTCAGCACAGCAGAAGACGAAGACCTTGAGGAAAGTGCTCACCTTGGCGCGATCGATCCGAGCTGCGCAACACGCATTTTCTGAGTCTAAGCCCGCCGCCTGCCATAGAAGGAAACGGCCCAGGAATTGCCCCGGCAATTCTTGGACTTGCAGTATCTCCGCTGCTTGGATACTGATCCGCGGCTTCTCGCAGTCGTAGGGCGTGAAGCATCGCAGGACACCGTCGGAGGACAGCCTCAGCAACTCCTCGCAGATTCTCCCTTCGAAGTGCACCGACCCCACCAGCGCCTCGCAGAAGGGTTACAAATGGCATTGGCTTACAAGGAACTACTGGCAAGAAGTGGTCACAAGTGTTTGGAATGTGGGCGACCTTGTGTTCTGACACAGGCCCGCACGTGTCTGGGATGCAATGCACTGGCAAACCTGGCATCTCAAGTTGCTTGGGAAAAGGTCTCAGCTGCTACCCTCCCTCACACTAACATAGCACTTATCAGGGAGTTCCTTTAAGAGGAAACTGATCTTCCAGATACACTCCCGCAGATGCTATGTTGGTTGGAGGAGGGGTACCACCCCCCCCAACTTTCGCAGACCTCCTTGACCACGCTGACCCGCCCTTGCCGCGCATGGGCGAAGGCCAGGCCGCAGACAGTGCTGTCGGCGGCCACGAAGAACCGCGGCGGCATCTTCGGCCACTGCCGCCGCAGGCCAATGGCCCCGGCGCGGTGCGTCACCTGCGCCCCACGCGGGCCGAGCGCAAGGCTTGGAGGCACGGGGTGAGGCTCACAACCGGGGTCGGGCCCTAGGGCATCTGAGCACGAGGTGAAAGGTTCGGAAACGGGCGCTGAGATTTGCTTTTTTTGGAAGGGGCAAGCGCTCAAAGCTCGAAGATTTATCACTTCAGGACTTTGGGACTCCAATTCTCACGAGCTTCAGCTGGCAGACTCACCGAGGCCGTCCGATCCCAAGAACATGTGTCCCTTTCCGAGAGCCGGAGATTGAACCGTTGATTGAGGTCCCTCAAGTGTGAGGTCAAACACAACAAGCTAAAGAATGCAAGACTGGCTTTGGGGTACAGCGCTTAGACGCTTAACAGGGCTTTACGTGATTCACAAGCGGAGATGGCAACTTATGAAGCATAATGGAAGGCAGGGCATCACATCTTGATTCACGCAAATTCCAAACTGGAATGCGTAGCCCAGAAAGCAAAATCGAAAAGCCAACACAAAAGGACTTGGCCTGTCCCGGGCTCAGAAAACGCTCGGCTCCGGATTCTTGAGAGGGCTGTGAAGTTTGTGAAGACAAGGAAGAGAACCAACCGTGCATATGGGCCAAGACTGGCCAAGAATTCGGGCTGCAGGTGCTGCACATTTTTTCAGCAAGGTAGACAGCGTGCTACCACCACGAACAAAGTTGAAGTGGTGCGGGGCCTTGAGCTAAATGCACGAATACTGTTGGGATCAACAACCGCCTAAACAAGAAACACACACACACAACCCAGAAGTTAGACAGCGAAGCCATCGGGTCAGCTTCGAAAGCCTCGAGATGATCCAAGGCAATTCATTCGATAGGGCCCTTCCACTGGAAAGACGGTGAGGTCCAGCAATGCGTCCGAGCATGGTCCAATGCCAATGGCCCGTTTGAAAGTTGTGTGGAAGGCCAAAACAAACAGAAAGAAGCCCAACTAGACCAGGAACGCCTCCCAAAAAGAGTACCATGATAGGATTAAGCAGTAGACAAAGCATCAACAACAAGTCGTTCACAATGAATGCAGGACACGGATTGACAAAAACGGCAGCATGTGGAACATAAACCCGAGGAATGCATCATACAGAACAGCCAGGTGCACTGTAGAACGTACAAATTTCATGCCGAGAGCAGAAGGCAGGATGCAAAATGGAGTTGGATACACCTTGGCCAGCAAGGGACACTGCAGGAATAGACAGCAACAGTATACAGCAGACTCGCAGACCAAAGCGAACGGTGAACGCTTGACATGCACTCGAATGATGTTTTGCACGAGGCAGCCAATGACGAAATAAGAACGTCTTGAAACACGAAGGATCCAACATGAAGGGAGCAGCTCTAACTAGCTGCCCGCACAAAAACGAGAAGGGGGAAGTATAAGACAGTTGAATCATGATTGGAGTCAGTAGAATGTATATTTTATTGTTTGCTTCACATGGAGTCATTGGTAAGATGCAAAACGTACCCATGAGATATCCCAAGTCTACCCGGCATCTGGTCGTCCAGCGCCTTCCGCGCCAGCCGCACCGGGCTGCTCACTTGGAGGGCGGGTTCCACCGGCGAGGGGTCGTCGGTCTCCCCCGGCTCCGGCGTCATCGCGCCGGCGGCGGCCTGCAAGACCACGTTCCTGGCCAGCGGGCCGCCCAGCTCCCGTTTTCCCCCGGAGGGTTGAGTTGGAAGCTCTATGTTGGCCCCGGATTTTCTTTAAACCCCTGTTTATTGATATGGGGGTGTCCTTGGTTGTAGTGAGGATTCATGGAACAGCCCAAGATTAATTAGCAGAGGTTTGTTAATCCGATCCCATCCAACGTGGAACCTGTCTCAGAGGCATGCAGGGGTCCAAAGACGATTTCCCACAAATGGGCCCCTCTGGTGGGTTCCATGTTTGTGGACAGGTGACATATGTCGAAGCTTGGAAACACAAGACCCATCGGCGAAATGAGCGGCAAGGCCTCAGCTTGGAGTCATCTTGTGAGAGGTGGTCGACCACGACGGCCCGGAACTGCTCCAGCGTTTTCACTGCGCAGCATGTGTACCTCCCAGACTCCCCACGCCTTCCGACTCTCAGCTTGGAGTCATCTTGTGAGAGGTGGTCGACCACGACGGCCCGGAACTGCTCCAGCGTTTTCACTGCGCAGCATGTGTACCTCCCAGACTCCCCACGCCTTCCGACTCGCCGCGCCCCGATTTTTTGGCCGGAACCCTGCAGTAAAACATGCCTCCAGCTTGGCCAGCCGAACATCGAAGTTGCATAGAGCCAGAGATGAGACAAAAGCTATTGGAGCCAGAGGGGCGCAAAGAAAAACTAGAGAGAAGCGGGGAAGAACTTTGAAGCCGGGAAGCAGCCGAATAAAAAGCCAGAAAATAACACAGGAAAGATCGGAGGAATAAGAATAGACGGTGCAAAAGGGGAAGGGCGGCCGATGAACTTGCTGGCCTCCCTCACCATGCTTGCCTGTTCCCACAACAAAGGCGTCAAATGACTTCCTTCCCGCAAGCGACATCTGCCCTAAACATCCCCAAAAACACCAAACTAGAGGACGATTGGCCCCAAAGCATTTTTCCCCAAGCGCTTCCCATCATATGCTTTTCCAGCCGCGGAGACGCCCTTTTACATCGATGCAACAGCTTCTGCAAAGCAGGCTCGTGCAACTGGCTCTATGTAACTTGACTCTATGCAACTTGGCTCTGTGCAACTTGGCTCTGTGTCACTTGGCTCTGTGCCACTTGGCTCTGTGCAACTTGGCTCTGTGCAACTTGGCTCTGTGCAACTTGGCTCTATGTAACTTGGCTCTGTGCAAGTTGGCTCTGTGCCACTTGGCTCTATGCAACTTGGCTCTATGTAGCTTGGCTCTATGTAACTTGGCTCTGTGCAACTCTGGGTAACTTGGCTCTACGTAAATTGGCTCTATGGTAACTTGGCTCTATGGTAAATTGTCTCTATGGTAACTTGGCTCTATGTAACTTGGCTCTGTGTAACTTGGCTCTATGTAACTTGGCTCTATGTAACTTGGCTCTATGTAACTTGGCTCTATGTAACCTGGCTCTGTGTAACTTGGCTCTATGTAACTTGGCTCTATGCAACTTGGCTCTATGTAACTTGGCTCTGTGCAAGTTGGCTCTGTGCCACTTGGCTCTATGCAACTTGGCTCTATGTAGCTTGGCTCTATGTAACTTGGCTCTGTGCAACTCTGGGTAACTTGGCTCTACGTAACTTGGCTCTATGGTAACTTGGCTCTATGGTAAATTGTCTCTATGGTAACTTGGCTCTATGTAACTTGGCTCTGTGTAACTTGGCTCTATGTAACTTGGCTCTATGTAACTTGGCTCTATGTAACTTGGCTCTATGTAACCTGGCTCTGTGTAACTTGGCTCTATGTAACTTGGCTCTATGCAACTTGGCTCTATGTAACTTGGCTCTATGTAACTTGGCTCTATGCAACTTGGCTCTGTGCAACTTGGCTCCGTGCAAGTTGGTCTGTGCAAGTTGCTCTGCGCAAGTGCTTTGCGCAAGTGCTCTGTGCAATTCGCAGAGCGCAAGTTGCTCTGCGCAAGTGCTGCAGGAGCTGTGGGAATGTACTTTGCGTACTATTTTTGTACTTAAAAGTTGCGATTTTCCAGCCGGAGCTGCGGGAGCACGCTCCGCATACTCGTCTGTACTTAAAAGTTGCGATTTTCCAACCGGAGCTGCGGGAGCACGCTCCGCATACTACGTCTGTACTTAAAAGTTGCGATTTTCCAGCCGGAGCTGCAGGAGCACGCTCCGCGTACTACGTTTGTACTTAAAAGCTGCGATTTTCAAGCCGGAGCTGCCGCGGACCAGGGGGGAATCGAACCCGCGAACGCGGGATTGCGAAAGCAGGCGCGCGAGCCACGAGACAAC